CTCTACCTTCTATTTCTATATCCTTACCAAAGGCATGTTTTAAGTCAGTTGAATTTTCCTCCTTGTTTCATTGAATAGTCCATCAGAAACAAACTTTCCATAAATGGATAAGTAGCTTTCAAATTTCTGTATAGAGAAATTATTTCTAAAATGTTTGCAGAGGGTAAAAACTAAAAGAAGGAAAAGAAACAGAGAAAGAAAAACAAAGGATAATTCTAGGATAACAACTGAAAATTGAGGAGGAAAACAATTTATTTGCAAGCAGACAACATAGCTAACATAGTAACTTGATCAGGTTATTGAAGAGGGGGATATTTTCTTGGGTCTGATGGTCTTACTATTGTGTTAATCGTTTTTCCCCCCTAATATTTATTTATTTGGCTGTGTTGGGTCGTAGTTGTGGCACGCGAATCTTCATTGCAGCATGTGGGATCTTTTTAGTTGCGGCATGCAAACTCTTAGTTTGCGGCATGTGGGATGTAGTTCCCTGACCAGGGATCAAACCCAGGCCCCTTGCATTGGGAGCGTGGAGTCTTAGCTACTGGACCACCAGGGAAGTCCCTATTGTGTTAATCTTTAAAACTTTTTTTTTTAAATCAAAGCAGTATGTGTGCACATTTATAAAGTAAAAAAAAAATCAATGGTGCTGAAGAGCTTATTGCAAAAGGTAAGAATGCCCCGCTGCGACATCCCAGCCCTACACCACCCTTTGCCTTCCACCCAAACCCTACTAGACCCACACTTGGGAAGCAACCAAGTTTAACTTTTCAACAGCTACAGTTCTTTAATTCTTTTGGGTGGTTACTTCCCTATCCCTCAAATAATAGTCATATTGCTACTTCTTTGTTTATCAGACAGACTTTCTGTGGACTTCCTTCCCATTCTGATACATGAGTACTTAGTTCACTTAGACCCTCCCCCCTCTCAGTATGAATGTCTCACTATTTTTAAGTCCTCTATTGTAATTTTAGGTAATGCACTTTAGTTCCTCTTTGTAATTTTCTTACTATATGCCCTTTTGTTTCTTGTTCCATTAACTATGACCTGTATCTCTCAACTCCCCACTTTGTATAGGGTCCCCTCCCGTTCCACTTCCAAAATGCTCTCACTGCTGTCTTCTGTAAGATTTCAATGCAAAGGTACCAGCACAACGGAATAAGGAGTTCAGCAGTAACTTCCCTGGTGGTCCAGTGGTTAAGACTTGGTGACTTCACTGCCATGCGCCCAGGTTCAATCCCCTGGTTGGGGAACTAAGATCCCACAAGCCGGGCGGCCAAAAAAAAAAAGAAGAAGTTCAAACAACATAAAAAAAAAATTGTGAAATAGTTTGTGCACGCAGACAATAATAGAGACTAGTATAGGAACACATATACATCCACCACTTGGTTTTATCAAATCTTAACATTATAACATATTTGCTCCCCTTAAAAAAAAAAGCATTGCCAATCCATTAAGGGCCTGTATACTAAGGACTGACTCTATTTCTCTTTGTCAGTGTTTATCATTACAACAAAACATCTCTCCTTAATTCAGTGTTTACCATTCTAATACATGATTTTATATTTTTGATGCATACGTTGGCATCCCTATACATATAATATAAACATATTTACATATATTCATATATATTATATATCCATGTATTATATATCAGTGCTGACATTTTTAAAGCAAAACAACTGCTGCGGGGGCTTCCCTGGTGGCGCAGTGGTTAAGAATCCACCTTCCAGTGCAGGGGACACAGGTTCGATCCCTGGTCCGGGAAGATCCCACATGCCGCGGAGCAACTAAGCCCATGCAGCACAACTACTGAGCCTGCGCTCTACAGCCCGTGAGCCACAACTACTGAGCCCATGCGCCACAACTACTGAAGCCCACGCACCTAGAGCCCGTGCTCTGCAACAAGAGAAGCCACCGCAATGAGACGCCTGTGCACCACAATGAAGAGTAGCCCCCGCTCGCCGCAACTAGAGAAAGCCCGCACAGCAACGAAGACCCAACACAGCCAAAAATAAATAAATTAAAAACAAAAAACTGCTGGGAATTGGGAAACACTAGCATTTTGAAATTCTCAGATTTTGGGGTCACTCGTACTGCAAAGCAAGCAAAATGTTCCAGGAGCATGACTCACAAGGCACACAGCATATCATAAAAGGGTAAAAAATAATAGCCTGGTGGCTTAAGAGGAATGACGGGATACACCAAAGCGAGAATCAGGAAGGTGATTTTTAATTTTGCACCAAGACTGGGCCATCCATGCAAAGAAATGAAGCACTAAAGTTCAAGAGGACGTTTCCTAGCAGGGTCTCCTCACTACACTCCCAGGGCTGTAGGAAGGAGAGCAACAGGGAATGTGAGGCAAGGCTGATTCTTAAGGTGCTTAACAGTAGAGCTCACACTTCACAGAAATGAAAATTAAGGAGGAAGGAACGGGGATCTGCACACTGACCCATTTTCAGCCTCTGTGGAAAAAAAATCACCATTTATAGCTAGAATGTACTATAACAGAAGGAGCGTAAATAACACTTAAACACTTGCACACATGCCAGAAAAGCAGAAGCAAGAGTCACAAAAGAAAGTACAAAGCTCAATGGCATGAAGACATAAATGGAAGCACATTCATTTTTCTTTATAGCTAATAGACTTTAAATTTTTACAAGCAATTTTTTAAAGTCACCCATAATTTCCCTACTGTATGGTAATTTTTGTTTCTTCATATTCCTTCCCAATTTTATCCCCCCCATACGTGCACAGTATATATACAATGCTTAACTCATTTTAATCGTTGTATAATATACAATTCAAAATGCCACTTTAAAAATTTAGCATGGGGGCTTCCCTGGTGGCGCAGCGGTTGAGAATCTGCCTGCCAATGCAGGGGACACGGGTTCGAGCCCTGGTCTGGGAAGATCCCACATGCCGTGGAGCAACTAGGCCCGTGAGCCATGGCCGCTGAGCCTGCGCACCTGGAGCCTGTGCTCTGCAACAAGAGAGGCCGCAAAAGTGAGAGGCCCGCGCACTGCGATGAAGAGTGGCCCCCGCTCGCCGCAGCTAGAGGAAGCCCTCGCACAGAAACGAAGACCCAACACAGCCAAAAATAAATAAATAAATAAATAAATTTTAAAAAAAATTAACATGTTTTCATCAACACACCATCAGTCATTAGACTTAAATTCTCAGTGTCTGCATCTGCTTCCTATTGTTTCCAGTTGCCTACTATTATAAATATGCTCTGACAAGCACAGTGGGTATTCTCAGCATAAATAGGGGAGGGGATGCTAAGAAAAACTAGAAAATGAACATTTTTTTAAAGAAAAAAGGTAAATGTGGAAGATTCAGAAGTTACCTTTAGGAGCCAGTCGATTCAGCAGAATTGGGTTCCTGTTCTTGTACATTAATTATGTATGTTTTAGCAGATATACAGTTCTGCTCAGGGAGGATTTTTAATTTTTTTAAATTTACAAATGCAGAAAAAACCATAGATGATACTAAAAAATATACAGGTACCCAGAATTAATCAATGTTCATTATATATGTATTTTAAAATACACGGATATTCCTAAAAAGTTGAAGTCTCTTTTGGACTCTTGTGTTGTCACACGGGTAGCCTCTTGACTGCAAGGAACAGTAAGGCAACTTAGTCCCAAAGCAGTTCACATAAACGGTGATAAAGGATGGAGAGATGGGTGTGATCTATGCAGACAGACTACTCTTTAACGGGTGGCTGTTTCTAGCATAATTACAATAAGACTCCATGTTTGTATAATGCATTATAGTTTGTAAAGTGCTTTTGTGGCCTACATAATAGAGGGATGTGAGGTGAGCTTCAACCAGGGCTGCCCTACTCCCCAAGAATGGACATAAAATGATGAAGTAGCGGCAGCTAGGGAGGACGCTTACAGGAACTGCACAGTAAGTAGAGTTTTGGGTTCAGTTAAGGAATCTTTACCAGGTTACATTACTTCAAGCTCTCTTCCTATGAAAACGTGAGCGGGAACAATCCCTTCTCCTCGGATCAGTGTGACGCAGCGACAGCTCAAGGACAGGCAGCTGTAGACAGGTTGAAACGGAAAACTCCAGCAAATATTCTATTAACAGAAAATACTCTTAAGGGCAATCAGGAGAGGAGTGCAGGGAATAGAGCGTCTCCTCACAATCAAGATGGCAACAAGCTCCAACGTACAAAGCTGTTGGGAAGTTGCAGACCTGCATGGAGCTTTGAAAGTAACAACCAGGGCCACATAACAAGACCACACAATACTGGGCCTCTCCAGGTATTTCTTGTAAGGGATCCTGGGGCACGTTGCTGGGTTACAGGCTGCAGGATGTTGGCAAACTATATGACAAGCATGGTGAAGAAAATATGGAGCAGAAAATAAAGATGGAAGCCTTCAAAAGGAAAAAAGGAAGGTATTTGGGGGATTAATGTCACAAGAGGTATGTATATAATGCATACTGAACCCAGTTTCAGCTTATTTGGAACAAATCATCTATGTAGAAGAAGCATAGCTTCAAGCATATTTTAATGCTTGAAATTCGCCAGAGAGGCAGGACCAAGAGTCACAAAAGAAAGCACAGTACTTATAATATATTCATGTACATACATATATACACACAGACATGCACGCACGTATGCGTATATGCACGTACACATTTGTGAAACAGAAATTTATGAATAAATTGAAAAGATTGTTAAGAAAAAAAAAAGTACGGACCAGAAATGTCAATAAATTCCATAATTTATTTCATTTTCACAAAATAACTGCTGGCTAGAACCAACATGGAGATTCTAATTAGCATCAGTATTACCCCTCGTGTGAAGCCTTCTCTTAGCTCCCTTTCCTCCCATTAGAGCTGATGACTTCCCCTCTATGACTCAGAGCACTTTTCATTTTGAGCCTTTTTTAGCATCAGTCACAATCATGACAGGTTGTATCATAGGTTTCATTTATTCTTCAAGTAGGCTTTGAAGGCTAGGATAAGGACCGTTTTCTACTCACCTTTATATCCTGGCATCCAGTGCAGTGTTTGGCCAATGTATGTACTCTATGCATGCTTGTTGAACCTGAGCCACTGTCTGTCACAGAGAGATCATTTGTCTTGGGGAAGCAAATTCTTCTGACCTCCCAGTCCAGTTCTCCCAGCTTGGTTCTCTCCTTGAGGCAAAGAATCAGCAACTATCAAGTTAAGTTCGTGGAGAGCTTCTGTTTGCTTTCTTCCAAAGGGGGATAAAGACCAAGACTTTTCCCCAGAGGCTAAGACACTAGTTCTTCGTATATGCTGTTAAAGGAAAAACGAAACAAAACAAAACAAAAAAAACTGTTGGAGACCTAAGACTGCGTGCTGAGCGGTAAAGCAGGGAACTTGACCCAGACAGAGGAACAGGTCTAGGAGCTCCTCAGGGATGAGGTTTAGGAAAAGAGAAAGGAAGTAGATCTTTTAAAGCAAAAACACTCAAACTGTTTCTGCCCCATATTAGGAAAGCAAAATGTCTTGAGAGATGCTGGGTGGCTGGTGATACCTGCATCTGCTGTTGTGTAATTATGGGGTTGGCTGGCCTAGTCTTCTTTGGGAATACGGTATGCATTGGGGTCATTTTGGGATTATGGTGTGTAGACACCTCATGACCTGCCTGATGGGGACTATGGCATCCACTGGGGTGTCAGCAGATGCCCTGGTTTCAGCAGGCTTGGTGGACTGGTCAGAGTTTAGCAATGCACAAAATTACCCTGGGGATTGAGGGTGGCCTTCCCATCTCTACTTCTGTCAAGAAGATCAAACCCCAGGCCTTGTCACGTAAACTGTGGGTGACTCCAATTTTCAACAGTCTTCCTTCTCTGAAGTAAGGAGTAGAATGAACATTCATTCAATGCCTACTGTATGGCAGGAACTCTACTGTACTTAGAAACTTTAAAATTGACATGAAGTGGATATCACCACTTTAAAGAGGATGCCACACAGCTATTAAGTGGTAAATCCAGAGTTCAAAGTCTGGTCTAGGCTGGCTCTAAAACTTTGGTTGATAGCTTCTGATGTCCTTCAACAGCATTAACAGGACACAGTGACTCTCACACTACCAGTGAATGACCTGGGCAGCTGGCTATGACACAGAGCCCCAGAGATCCACCCCAACCTGGACTTTAGTTTCTAGGTCTTAGAGGCCTTGTGTTACTTTGCTAAGTGAAAGACTAGAAATTTGGACCGTCGAGAGAACTGACCACAGCATAAAATGCTCTCTAGTTAGAAGGAAAGAGAAAACAAAAACAAAAACTAAATGAAAACAGTGAAAGGCTGAGTATTTAGGGTATAAGAATCTAATTAACCATGTCTAATGTTTCACTGTTTTTTTTTTTTTTTTTTTTTTTTTTCGGTACGCGGGCCTCTCACTGCTGTGGCCTCCCCCGTTGCGGAGCACAGGCTCCAGACGCACAGGCTCAGCGGCCATGGCTCACGGGCCCAGCCGCTCCGCGGCATGTGGGATCCTCCTGGACCGGGGCACGAACCCGTGTCCCCTACATCGGCAGGCAGACTCCCAACCACTGCGCCACCAGGGAAGCCCTTTTATTGGTTTTGATGGTGGAAAAAGCAGTATGTAAAAACACATGATATAGAAAATGCCCTTTATGATACAATTCACTAAAATTCAAATGAGACAATGCATCTGAAAGTGCTTTAAAAGCATAAAGTGCTATACGACTGTGAGGGATTACTTGTCCAAGAAAGCTTTTACAGGAGAAACTTGCAACATTGGTGTTTTTGCCTCTCCTCTAAGAACCAGGGCAGTTTTGAGAGTTGCTCTTCATTGAAGAAACAACTCATGCTTATATCCCCAGCTTGGTAGGATCAGGTAGAGATCAATATTAGCCTTCAGAAGGGGAAACTCTCTAAGTCTATATAAGGCTCCACAATTGTACTCTGAACCGTGGCCAAGAAGATTGGTTAGCACTTTGTAAAGCATTTTTAGAAAAAAAATACATAGTGTGATAAAACAGTATAATCTACAATAAATTAAACATTAATGGCATGCCTAGAGACTCTGTACAGTGAAATAATTTTACTAAAAAAAAATCAATTTTTATTTGATGCCTTGTAAATATTCAACCTTTCATTTTAGTCCTTTCTGCCCTGTCAACCCCGCCCTCGACCCCTGCCCCTCAATCTCTTGTTCTTTCTTCTCTAGCCTTACATCTCTCATTGTACTTCGGAGAAACGGGATTTTACTACTCCTTTCTCCTAGAACTGTGCCTTCAGATTCTTCGAAGTGTCTGATCAAACACTTTCTCTCCGAGTCTGAGAGCACATGGCGCCTTCTTCCTTTAATTCTTCCTTTCTCCTTGTTCCCTATCCCTCTCCCCACTACCTTAGAACTTCAAGTTCCCACTACGATTTCAAATATAGAATATTTTGCTGTTCCTCCTACGAGGGAGCTTAAAATGCCTCTAATTACACCATTTCCCCTGTCTCTCTTCTCCTTTGCAATTTAGATGCAGCACAGCAGAACAATCTGCCTGACTCCTCTCTGATCTGTCAGGTCATTTTGAAGGACTTCTGTCTTATGTGAGTCTTGCCTCAATAAGGGCCCAGCACCCCAGCTGCCTGCTTAACAGGCAAAGCCATAGGGCCACAGAGCTGCAGTCTCAAGAGGCTTTGCTGTTCAGCCAGTGCCAGGTTGCTCTTCAACTCTTGGTTGAAAAATAAATTTCAGTCTTATTTACCTAAAAAATTTCCTTCTATTTATAAGATTGCAAGTTCTTATTTCAATCTGGATGTGCCCACAGGTGAAAAGTAATATAATGGCTTAACTGCTTCCATTGGTCCAAAGTAGTCTTCTTTGAAGAGAATGGGGTCTGTGCAACTCTACTAGATAGTTCTTGGACATGATCGAGTTTTTTGCTTTTTTTTTTTTAACATCTTTATTGGAGTATAATTGCTTCATCCTCAAGTTTGAGAACTACCTGAGAAGCTGTGGTAAGAAAAGAACAACAAATATATGTGGGAGGACAGTATTTTGAACATTAACTGATGTTCCCCTCTTTCCTATCTGTTCTTTCCTGTTATCTCTACCCCTCCCTGCACCCTCAACCTTCAGGCTACTAATTATTTTGCCTTTATTGCCTTAAGAAAAGAATGAAAGGAAACAGAGAGCTGATTCCTGATATTTTTGCATTTCAAAATAGACTTCAAAATCATAAGTAGGGAAGAGTTTAAGAGTCTGTTGAAAGCAAAAGATTAAGCTTTTGAAATATCAAAGCCAATGCCTTGAAAGGATTCGAGACTTTGTGTACAGTGTGTCAGAGTCAGACTTTTCTGTTTCTTGAGACGAGCAAGGGTCTGGATCCAGGGGAGCCAGTGAGGAAGCTAGTGGTGAGTAGACTTAGGGGTTTCAGAGAAAGTGGTCTGTGAGGTATACATCCTGCCAGAGAGCAGAGAGGGACATGAGCCCCACAAGCTGACGTAAAAGCAGTGAGATTCCAGAGTTCCCATCCCCTGCCAGCAAGGAAGGAATGACTGGGGAGAACTGGGGCAGCTGGGCCTGAGGCACCTCCCAGGCACAATTCTAGGGAAGTGGAGAGAAAAGAAAATCTTCCTTCTGTGTGTGTGTGTGTGTGTGTGTGTGTGTGTGTGTGCGCGTGCGCGTGCGCACCTGGTCTCTGTATCCAGATTTCCCCTTTTATTATTTTATTTATTTATTTTATTTTTATTTATTTATTTATTTATTTGCTGTACCTCTCACTGCTGTGGCCTCTCCCGTTGCGGAGCACAGGCTCCGGATGCGCAGGCTCAGTGGCCATGGCTCACGGGCCCAGCCGCTCCGCGGCATGTGGGATCTTCCCGGACCGGGGCACGAACCCGTGTCCCCTGCATCGGCAGGCGGACTGTCAACCACTGCACCACCAGGGAAGCCCTCTATTTTTAGTTTTTAAAACATATTTAGTTATTTAGCTGCACCAAGTCTTAGCTCCAGCATGCAGGATCTTCGTTGTGGCCTGCGCGGGATGTTCACTGCCACGTGTGGGATCTTTAGTTGCAGGATCTTTAGTTGTGACATGTGGGATCTTTTAGTTGTGGCATGTGGGATCTTTTAGTTGCAGCATGCAGGATCTTTAGTTGCGGCATGTGGGATCTAGTTCCCTGACTAGGGATTGAACCTGGGCCCCCTGCATTGGGGGTGCAGAGTTTTAGCAACTGGGCCACCAGGGAAGTCCCCAGATTTCCCCTTTTAATAAGAACACCAGTCATATTGGATTAGTGCCCATCCTGATGGTCTCATTTTAGTTTAATTACCTTTGTAAAGACCTTATCTCCAAATACAGTCACATTCTGAGGTACTGGGGGGTTAGGATGCCAACATATCTTTTTGAAAAGGACATAATTCAACCCATAACAGGCCACTTACACAGATTAGCTCACTATCTCTTGCTGAACTCTTTTTTCCACTCCCACCGACCCATTTCTCTCCACCAAAGCCTTCTGGAAGAATCTGTAGTCAGGAAAACATCTGGTAATCTCATTTATACTGAGGCATGACTGGCCAAAATTGTCTTTCTCTATAAAGTACAATGGTCCAAAATGATATAAAGCAACAAAAAGAAATCGATAAAGTTTAGTATGTTGTCCCTCCTGGAAATATCTACATTTTAACAAATCACAAGGAATTATACTCATTCCTCTACAACACAACATATAACGTATATGTTATATACTGGAACATAAATCATGGCAGTGCTTGGGATAACGAGGAAAAACTTGCTAAGCAATACTTGGTTTTTATTATAATTCACATAAAAACTGCATTTTCTATTAATGGCAAAATAAGGTTGAATGCCATGTTGTTGATACAATGACATGCACTCATAATTGCCAAGTGAAGATTATTGTAGATTTCTTCTTTAATGCTAATAAGAAATATAAACACTCCTAAAGGAACTGCAAACTTGGTAGCTACTGCTATTTCATAAGTGGTTCAAAGGCTATGAAATTAGCAAGATATTTGAACCGCTCAAACCAACAATGGCTTTAAATCCATCCCTTCCAAAATTGCACTTAGGAGCCATTTTTGCAGCCAATAAAAGCTTTACTTTTTTTTAACTCAAGAATGTGGGCTATGATAGCACAGCTATCATATTTAAAAAGCACTTAAACCAAACTGACACTAGGAACTAAAAAGTAAGATAGGAAAACTTGACTTTATATGTTGTACTCTAAAATACAGTCGATTCTCGTTTTTCGCAGTAGTTAAATTCTATAAAGTTACTGTGAACACTGAATTAGCAAATACT